CCATCTGTGAGGTTGGTACTGTCTGGTGCCAAATTGGGATCTATCAGTTCTGTACCTGCTTCCCTCCCCTTCTGTGAAAGGCTTAGCTCTAGCAAATTGTTTAGGTTCCGTTTTGGAGCAAAACGGATGATCCAGTTGGCTCTGCAGCTCTCCCTGTAATGTATGACAAGCTTGAAATCTCTGCTGAGCTCTTCTGTAAAAAAAATCTGTATGCTTTTTCTGATGTCTAAAGGGACCGTCTCATCAGGTTTGGTTGGTTTCTACAGTGTCTAGGGAAAGGTTGAGGCTACCAAACCTCCGCGATATACATGTTTCTTCTGAAACCTAAACCAGAACATGGCAGACTCAGGATGCTAGTGGTTGGGGGAAAAGGTGACTTTTAAGCAATGTCCTTTTTGGGTGGCCTGTAGAGGAAGAGTTCAGCCCTGTAACCATCCCTCTGATAATTTCTGGGTGCTCATGAACACACCAGGCTCCCTTCCTTTTGGGGCTGTTTCAATTGTTTCCACTTGATAGCTTGAACAGCAGAAGAAAAGGGAAAATCCTATAAAATGGTAAGTTTAAGCTCTCTGTAACAGCAAAGAAAATGGCAAGGATGCGATTGCATTCTTAAATGCACTCTGACTGTAATGAAAGACTCAGTGATTTGTTGTCTCATTTTTCCACTGATTTCCTCTGAGTGTTCTGCTCCTTCCTCCAGAGACACTCATGGATGGTGGTAGGAATTGGAGTTGATGCCCTGAGTATGCCACCGTTTGTATGTTCTGCTCATCCTAAAGCAACATTGGGAATGAGAGGAAGTGCCAAAGTTTTTGGATATTGGCTCTTGTGAGATGCAGAAGTTCGTAGCCCCTTCGCTCATTCTCTTTTTTTAAAAAAAAATATAACCTCCAAATCTCCGTTCTTCTCTCCCTACCTTGAGAGCAAAGAATTGACACACTGCCATCGGTGTACAGTAAAACCCTCAATATCTTCTGCGAGGGACTCAGTGTGATGCTACAGGGTGGGCTTCCCTAGAGACGTCACTTGCTTTCTAGAAGAGTCCCTTGTGACAGATGAAATGAGCTGGAGGGAGTTCAGTTGTGATGATAACATAAATAGGCAAAGCCTTTGCGTCCTTTCCAAACAAGCTTGGGAGATCTTACTACTTACTCTTCATCTATATTTAGTCCCTGAAATCTTTTGAATCATGTCTAGCTCCTGAAATCTCTGAACAAGAGACCAGGACCTGGGGAGCTTGATATGACACAGGCTTGGGGGTTACCAGTGGGGGATAATCTCACCTTTCTTGGTCTTGCTATGGAGGAAAGCAGAATCCTTTCTCTGTGTGAAGAGGTCCCTGTGAAATATGGTATGTTCCCTTCCAGACTGCTATCCTTAATAGAGTAATCAGAGTTTAGTGGCACAGCCACAGAGTTTGTTCCTATCTGAAAGCTAAAAAGCCTTATATTTGGAAGCTTCTCCATAGAAAAGGATGAGAGCAGTGCCTCATGATGGAGAGAGCCTAAACCAGAGTTGTGAGCTTTAAACGTACCTCACAGCATCCTTCTGTATTTATCGTCTTCTGTCGCCGTGGGGTAATTGGACTGGTTGGCCTTCCTCCAAGGCGTGGTGGAAAATGGCTGTGCGGTAACTTTATAACAGGGCCTAGAGTGGCCTGTTTGGTGTTGGCTGGGCACAAATCTGGGTCTACCCTGGGTCTGCTCTGCAGGCAGCCGTGTAGTGTTGAGTTGTACCTGCTGTCTTGAAATCAGATGCAATCTAGCTATGTGCAGGCTGGACCTATGGAGCTCTTTGCAGCTGTGGCTAAGCTGTCAGGAGGATTATTTGCTGCTACGTGGCCAAAGTGTTTTGGGCAAGACTGTGAGTTACTTTGTGAGGTGTAAGAACTTGAAAATAAACTTCCCTTAATGGAAAGGATCCCGTGTTAGGAAAAGGCTTTGCTAACTGAGCCCCTCATTGCCAAAGAATGGCTGGCTCTTCCCCTCTCTACTATTTCTGTAGTATGTGTCTAAATCTATGATTTTGTGCCTAGTGGCCAAGCAACAAGGATGGACATGTCAAACTTAATTTGTTACAGTAAATAGCCTGGGTTTTCAGTTGAGAGTTTGAAGAATTACAGCTTTGACAAGTCAGTATAGTTAGAAGC